CACTCAACATTTTATTCTCTAGGGCCTCTGCTTAAAAAATATATAATGTTTGGGAGTTCTAAGTAATTTTCTAGAAAACAAATGCTGATTTTTACATGTAGGAGGGAAGTGTCAGGATAGGCTTGGGGCTAAAGTGGTTAAATAAATCAAATGTAAGCCAATTCTACAGCCAAGAATGTGCTGCCAGAGTAAACATCGCTGAGATTGTCTGTGAAAACCATACTGTTCTGTAACACAACATTCATAAACACTAGTTTATGTACAGATAACACTTTTTCAGTTTTTGGGGAAGGGTAGTAGTAGAGTAAGGAAGAGCTAGAACCCCTTCTAGTCAATTTTTTGATGTCTGTAATTTCCCTTCATTTCCTATCCCAGAGACACCACAAGAATTTAGAGGAAATCTCTCTCTTAGGTTGTGGTTCCTAGAACAGGGGTCCTCACTGGAAGATTTTCCCTCACCTCTTGGTCTGGGGACAACCTTACAAATTCTGGATTTCACCTAATTTCTTTTTCTTTTTTGCGACAATGGGTACCAGTACAAATAGTTAATCTCCTCAGCAGTGGCACAAATAGTAATAAAAATAATAAATAATATAAATTTGGCAGAGGGTCTAACCATTTCCTATTCTATCCAAAACCTAAAGAAAAAGTTTTGCCTAGATAGATACCCTTTAATGTTGGCCTCAAAACCACATGAAAAGACTCTTGTTTTGTTGCACATCTCATATGCCTCTCTTTGACAGTGCTTTGCCTAACAGCCCTAAAATTGGCCAGAAACGTATTTCACCCCCCAACCCTCTTCCCCCATAATAGCCTTTAGTGGCATTTACTGTTAAGTTTGGGTTTGCCAAATTTCAAACAAGATTCACTAAGCCCTCAGCAAATCAAGCCTGGGCAAGCAGCACAGTGGCTAAATGGTTAGCACTTCCGCCTGGCAGTACTAGGGTTGTTGGTTTTAATCCCAACCATGGCACCACCTGCCTGGAGTTTGCATGTTCTCCCTGTGCTTGTGTGGGTTTCCTCCAGGTACTCCGGTTTCCTCCCGCACTCCAAAGACATGCTTTTAGGTTGATTGGATCCTGTCTAAATTGGCCCTAGTATTTGTATGTATGAATGTAAGTTAGGGACCTTTGACTGTATGCTCCTTGAGGGTTAGGGACTAATGTGAATGTACAATATATATGTAAAGCACTGCCTAAATTTATTTATTGAATTAATTACAGGTACTTATATAGCGCCATCAATTTACGCAGCGCTTTACATATATATTGTACATTCACATTAGTCCCTAACCCTCAAGGGGTGTACAATCTAAGGTCCCTAACTTACATTCATACACATACTAGGGCCAATTTAGACAGGATCCAATGAACCTACCAGCATGTCTTTGGAGTGTGGGAGATTGAGGGTACTATATAACCGCTTCCCGTCCGCCCTATAGAAGAAGTACTTCTACAGGGCGGCACGGGTGCGCAAAATCACGTATATATACGTGACGTTGCATTTCCGGGTAGGGGGCACGTGCCCTACGCGTGCCGCCATTCACGGCCTCAGCTGTCAATCACTGGGTTCTGGACGGTGATTACTCGCCGACACCCGGTGATTGCCGAGCATCTCCGACGGGGAGGAGAACTGTTTGTAAACAATACAGTTCTCTCCCCTGTCAGCTCCTGCCTCACTGCTTTGCATGGCTGTGCATAGCAGAGCCATGCAAAGCAGTGTGCCTACAGTGAAACACAGACACAGTCCCCATAGTAAAACAACACACAGTTAGCCCTTTGATCACCCCACATGTTATTCCCTTCCTTCACCATGCCATTAGTACAGTGTCAGTGCTTTTTAGTACAGTGTCAGTGACACCAAGTCAGTTCCCCCCAGTGTCAGAATGCCTGCCGCAGTCCTGCTATAAGTCGCTGATCACCACTATTACTAGTAAAATATTTTTTACAAAATTCCAGGGTATATATACCGCCATTTGTAAACGCTATAACTTTCACGTAATCCAATTAATTTACACGCATTGGGATTTTTTTTACCAAAGCTCCACATGGAGCAGAATACATTTTGGCCTAAATCTATGATGAACTTTGATTTTTTTTTACTGGATATCTTTAATAGCAAAAAGTAAAAAAATATTGTTTTTTTTCTCAAAATTGTTGGTCTAAAAATGCACAGACGATCAAATACCACCGAAAGAAAACTCTATTTGTGAGAAAAAAGGACTTAAATTTCATTTGGGTGCAGCGTTGCATGACCATTACGCAGTGCTGTATGGCAAAAAAATGGCTTGGTCATGAAGGGGGGTAAATCCTCTGAAGGGCAAGTGGATAAGTACCTGAAATAAATAAATAAATACGCTCAGCTGTCTTCTCCAGTTCATCAACCGTAGGCTTTCAGTGATGTAATCAGCAGAACTGATCCATGATGCTTTTACAATTGTATAATATTAAATTAATAAAGAGAGAAGAGTGGGTTGTAAAAGTGAAATGATTTAACAAGGTTTTTTCCAAAAAACAAAGCTTTTCCGTAGGTAATTTAGGGTATTCTAGTGCTCCCTTAGGCTGGCCATACACTATACAATTTTCTGTACAATTTCTTTCAGATTTACCTTCAACTATGTAGTGCAAGGGGCTGCCTAACTGGATACAATTGAAAGTGTAATTTAGGTTTGACCTCTTATTATATTGTTTTTTCTAAATCTAAAGCAAAAATCTCAAGAAAATTGCATAATGTATGTCTCGTATTTCTGACATCTGAACAATCATCTAGCTACACTGTGGTGTGCACATGAGGAAAATAGAGTGAAAAACGAATACATTAATTTAATGAAAGTGAGGCCCGGAGAAAAGAAAAGGAAAAAACATAAACGGAAGCCCGGCATGACAGTGGGTAATGGGGTTTGGGTCTAGTAGGGGGTTCATCTTTGTTTGAAAGAAAATAAGGTCGTAGCGTCTTACTTGATTGGTGTCCAGGAGAGGAACAGGTGGAGCTTCAGGAGGAGAACAGGCAGGGGGTCTCATGAGGTCCTCAGTTGGAGGGAAGGTGTTGGGGAAAACTTCCCACCATCCCTCCCTTTTTCTTTCACCATTTAGCTACTATTTTTTTTTTGCTGTACTATTTTGTTGTTGGTGTGTATTTTGTCATGGCCGCAAGCAGTGTCCAAGGTCCTTGTAGGTTAGTACGGGGCACAAATGTACTTTGTAGGGACCTGTCTGAAGTACGGCTCCCAAGAGCTGGCATGGTTATATCTGCAATTTGTTGTCTCCAAGTCGTTGGTGTGGCGGCTGGAGGCCTAATTAGGTTGGACGCAGGTACTCTCTTCTTTTGATGCCTACTAGGACCTTGAGGCTCCATATATACAATGGGGCAAAAAAGTATTTAGTCAGCCACCAATTGTGCAAGTTCTCCCACTTAAAAAGATGAGAGAGGCCTGTAATTGGCATCCTAGGTAGACCTCAACTATGAGAGACAAAATGAGAAAAAAATCCAGACAATCACATTGGCTGATTTGGAAAGAATTTATTTGCAAATTATGGTGGAAAATAAGTATTTGGTCACCTACAAACAAGCAAGATTTCTGGCTCTCACAGACCTGTACCTTCTTCTTTAAGAGGCTCCTCTGTCCTGCACTCATTACCTGTATCAATGGCACCTGTTTGAAATTGTTATCAGTATAAAAGACACCTGTCCACAACCTCAAACAGTCACACTCCAAACTCCACTATGGTGAGGACCAAAGAGCTGTCGAATGACACCAGAAACAAAATTGTAGGCAAGCAGCTTGGTGTGAACAAATCAACTGTGGGAGCAATAATTATAAAATGGAAGTGGGAGAACTTGCACAATTGGTGGCTGACTAAATACTTTTTTGCCCCACTGTATGTGTGTTTAATGTGTCATTTGTCTGTTATTTATACAGTTTGATAATAAAGATTGCTATGGTCATTTAACTCCAGGTTGTGGTAATGTGTGGTTATTTATTAAGGGTAAGGGGGGGGAGTGATGGTCAGAACAGGCTGAAGACAAGCCATTTGTCACAGTCAGGGGTCAGGCTCAGAGACCAGTAGCCATAGCAGCAGAGAGGCTCTCACCAACTAGCAGGATGGTATACAAGCAGGTCACCCTGGCAAATGACGCAAGCTCACCTGAGGTGCAGGTTCTAAGCATCAACCCGTATTCACCAGAGGTCCTGATGGTGGAGTTGGGTTTTGGTATGTGTTAATACCAGGTCAGGGTCCTCAGAATCACCCCACCAAGAAGTGAGCAAGCCAGGATCCAGTAGCTGATATAGCAGGTAGGGATCAAGCAGAAGCATTGTCAGTAAACAAACTAGGTTAGTAGCAAGTGGTTTCAGGCTAGGATGAGGCAGAAGAATAGTTGAGGAACAAGCTAAAGGTTGGTAACAAGTGGTAGCGAAGGAACGGACAGCAGCAGGAGAGACAAGAGTGAGATATTGGCTGGAGAAGGCACAATAATCTGGCAAACAAGAAGAGCAGAGACATGGCTTAAATCACGAAGTTCATGGGAAGAGCAAAGAGTTCAAGGTTCACAGCAAACAAGATCAAGGCAGGATCATTCAAGGAATTGTCCAGGGAGCTGTACAGTATTCCAAGTAGCTCAGCAAGAAGAGACATTGTCAGACACAGCAGATGTCCCAGGTTCGGACCCACAGGCACTGACACCATCTTTAGTACCTTAGTCAATGGATATCCTTGGCATTATGAGAGAGATATCATACAGTATTAGTCTGGTGTCTGTGTTTACAAGCATTGAGGCTCTTTATTTAAAATGACTGAAAGGATTGTCTATATTACAATGAGCAGCCAATAATATATAATGGAGGAATGAAACTTTGGAGACTTTGGTTACTTGACCAACAAAGACAAGATGATTACAGTAAATATGTATAAATAATGAATGAACATTACTTCTGTGGCATTGGGGGCATTAGTCTTAATTCTCTGACAGTATGATAATGTAGTATTTTTGTATTTTCTTTTACCAGGGTGAATCTGGCCCTGGCGTACACTGAACTGACAGAGGAACTTTACCGTCTGCGAGACCTTACTGCTTTACAAGGCCGGATTCTGAGGTCACTGCTGGAGGACCAAGCAGGTGATGATATGCCAATGCTTATCTACTAAAGGAAATAGATCAAATAGGTGTGAAAGCTAAAAAATGCAAATAAATTAGCTGTGTTTAATGTTTAAAATCAAAGCCAACTTCTTATGGCGTACAGTAGAAAAGTATACCTAAAGCCATTATGTTTTTAGGTTTTGGATTGATTTCTGTCTCTGCTGAAGAGATCCCCCCTCTATCCCTACTGTTTCACATTTGCACTCATGTGTGTAGCTTTTCTAAATGCAGGAGAAGCTTTCTGGGAAGTATAAATAGCTTTTATACCTCTCAGATCAATTTTTTGCATTTAGGAGTCCCTGCTTTATAGTACTTTGTAGTGCTTACCCCTGGAGGGGCTGCTGAGAATATACCCAGGTCTCCCACGGTAGTACAGAGGCTGCCAGTCACAAGCACAATTCCATGCAAACCGACAATTAAAGTGATTCTAAAGGCTTATATTTTTTTAAGGAAAAAATAACAAACATATCTATACTTACCTGCTGTGTGCAGTGGTGTTGCACAGAGCAGCCCGAATCCTTCTCTTCTCGGATCCCCCACAGGCTTTCCTGGCCCCTCCTTCTTGTCGGGTGCCCCCACAGCAAGCAGCTTGCTACGGGGGCACCTGCTGCTCCGAGTGTTTATTCACATGGAGCCACGGCTCGGCCCAACCCCCTCTCTCTTCTCCTTCGCTCACTGTATGTGATTGGCAGCAATGGGAGCCAATGGCTCCTGCTTCTGTCTCAGCCAATGAGAAGAGGGGAGTCCCAGGATAGCTGAGACTCCAGTGCACATTGCTGGATCGAGAGGGGGCTTAGGTGAGTATTAGAGAGGGCTTGGGGGATGCTGGACACAGAAGGTTTTTTTTAGCTTCATGTAAATAATGCATGATAGTAAAAAACCTTAAGCCTTTAGAACCACTTTAAGGCTCAGTTTAAGAGATATATTTTTAATTTATTGCTGAATAATTTGAACAGGAGAAGTGTTGGGTCACAGGATACTCCTCAATGATAATAGCAATAACAGAAGGACAGCTTCTCACTAATCTTCTCTAAGCAGCCTTTTCTGGAGGTGGCCAGTATATCTAGGACTCTATAGGAGCAGTCCCAGTCCATATAGTATCATCTGGCACTTAACTCTCTTTTAGCACCTGTACACCCAAGAGTCCACAGCAAGGTCTTTACTCACAATTCCCCAGGTACTGACTGCAGCCCAGCATCCATAGGTAGCTCCTCAGCGAGGAAGATAAACAATCCTTCTCCAGACCAGGCCTCCAGGATGATGCCCTCCAGAAAATAATACTTTGGCATTCTTTTCCAGGCCCTCAGCCCAGGTCCTGCTGAGGCCCAGACTGCAATTTCTTGTCTCATTAGCTATCTAACAGCCCAAGGAGAACTACTGCCTCTGGCAACCCTCCCTGGACAGGAAAGTACCCTCTGGACAGGCCTCCACAAGCATTTATCACCAGCCCAGCTACTTTCTGGATGCCTCCTTCTAGGGATTTGCTGGGGCATGATACATATATTCACACTGCACATTTAACACTCCTTCTCCTATATTCTGGAAGCTTCTCTGAGAAGCAGGTTTGAGAAATCAAACACCCAGATAGGAAAACCTGATCAGTCAAAACCAATAGATTATGGCTGCACTGACTATAGTGAAGCCAAATACTACATTTAGCTTAATTAGATGAGGGCATTACACTTTTAGCTGCATTTACATCAGTATAGCCATGTTTAGAGTTTGGCCCTGAATGGCCCTGAAAGGACATAATTATCCAGCCTAAATTATATAATTGAGAAAATATTACCTGAATTTATATACGTGTAGAAATGGGCTTTGAATGCATAGGTTTGACACTGCAAGTGAGAATGAGGCCTAAGGTAAGGAAAATCCAAAATCTGAGTTGTCACCAGAACAAGAGTTGTCACCAGAAGAGGAGAATTTTTTAAAGCAGGGACATTTGTTGCAGTGACAACCAGGAGCGGACTGTCAACTCATGGGGCTCCCGGCAATAGGGGATCATGGGGCCCCTGTGTCCTTGCCCAAACTCAAAAAAGCCTATGAAAAAGGTACCAGGGGCATCTCATGGGGCCCCCTACTGACCCCGGGCCCTCGGGCAGTGCCCGAGTTTCCAAATGGTCAGTCCGCCCCTGGTGACAACTGTCTTTGAGAGGATTAGTTACATAGTTAGTCTGGCTGAAAAAAGACAAAAGTCCATCCAGTTCAACCATAAAAAAAAAAAAAAAAAGTTTGAATCCTACACCCACAGTTGATATATTTATCAACATTAAACCTCAGTTGCCACATGGTTTCCCAATTACACAGTGCATTGAATTGAGGTCGGCTTGTAAATTGGATACATCCTGTAAGGACGTTATTCCACTGCACAGCTTGGTGTCATCTGCAAAGACTGAAATGGTATTTTTACCAGACCCTATATCGTTTATAAATTGATTAAAAAGTAAGGGTCCCAACACTGAACCTTGAGGTACACCACTGACAACCCTAGACAATTCAGAGTATGAATCATTAACCACTACTCTCTGAATACAATCTTTTAGACAGTTTTCTATCCATTTACATACAGATTTTTCCAAGCCTGTAGACTTTACCTTACACATTAGCTGTGTGTGGGGAACTGTGTCAAATGCTTCTGCAAAATCCAAGTAAACCACGTCCACCGCCACCCCCTCTGTCCAAGTATACCACATCCACCGCCACCCCTCTGTCCAAGTATACCACGTCCACCACCACCCCTCTGTCCAAGTATACCACATCCACCGCCACCCCTCTGTCCAAGTATACCACGTCCACCGCCACCCCCTCTGTCCAAGTATACCACGTCCACCGCCACCCCTCTGTCCAAGGTTTTTCTCACCTCCTCAAAAAGAAATCAGATTTGTTTGACAACTTCTGTCTTTCATGAATTCATGCTGTCTGTTGCTTAAAATATCTTTTTCCAGCAAGAACTCATCTATCTGGTCTTTTATTAAGCTCTCCAGTATCTTGCCAACTATGGAAGTTAAACTAGCAGGTCTATAATTACTTGGTAAAGATTTTGACCCCTTTTTAAATATAGGCACCACACTGGCCTTACACCAATCCAGTGGTACTATGCCAGTCTTTAAAGAGCCCCTACAAATTTGAAACAATGGGTTTGAAAGGTAAAAGTTTTTTTTCCATTTTGGATAGAGTAAGTGAAAGTTATGGCAACAATCCTAAATGTAGTTCTTTCACTCATCAGTGTCCTGATCACCGCCATACTAGTGTCCTGATCACTTGTATACACCATACTAGCATCCTGATCACCGCTATACACCATAATAGCATCCTGATCACCACCATACCCCATATCAGCATCCTGATCATCGCCATACCCCATACCAGTGCCCTGATCACCCCCATACCAGTGCCCTGATCACCCCCATAACTCATACCAGTGTCCTCATCACCACCATACCCCATACAGAATCCTGATCAATGCCATATCAATGTCCTGATCACCGCCATACCAGCATCCTGGTCACCAAAACACAGTACCAGCACCCTGATCACCGCCATACATCATACCAGCACCCTGATCCCTGCCATACCCCACACCAGCATCCTGATCACCTCCATATGCCTTACCAGTATCCTGCTTACCACTACACAGGGTCATTATCATTGCCATACCAGTGTCCTGATCACTGCTTTACCAACACCAGTGTCAACAGACCCAGTGTCTCCAACTGTTACCACTGCTCCAGGCCCCACAAAAATGTGATAGGTAGACAGGAAATAGATGCAAAATGTATGCCTCTAGAAAGCCATAAGATATTCCTTGGATTTTGGGCCTCTGTGTGGCTAGGCTTTGAAAAAGTCTCACACATGTGGTATCCGCATACTCAAGAGTAGTAGCAGAATATGTTTTGAGTTGTATTTCTAAGCAAGCCTACACTGTATATTACACACATATTCACTGACTGTTTTTTGTAAAAAAAAAAAAAAAAAAAAAACAACATTTTAGTTTTCTTTCTGCATTTTCCAAAAACTTATGTAAAAAAATTACATTTTCAAAACACTTATTATGCCTCTTAGAAAATACCTTGGGGTGTTTACTCTCCAAAATGTGATCCTTTTGTGGGTGTTTCCACTCTCCTGGTGCTCCAGAGCCTCCAAAAATGTGTTAAGTAATCAGCAAATTAGATGCATAATTTATGCAAAATTTATGCTCCCTAAAGTGTTACTAAACCTCACAACTCATACTCACAAGTGACATCATAAACCCATAGGGCATTAATGCTTAAAGTTTTACTAAACCCACAACAGTAAAATCAGTCTGTATATGCAGTAAAGCATGCTTGTTATACTCATTGTGAAACCTAAGGGGTTAATCCTCTGCATTGTGTAAAAAGGATGTTTGATCCTGACTTCTCTGAACCTAACCATCTTCCAGTGCCCCCCTCTTATCTCTTGATAAGACATATTGTGTGGCGTCACTCTGCATACACTCAGCTTGGTGTGCACTGCTAGAGAGGTTTTTTTTTTCTTGGGAGAGTACATATGATCAGCACAGGGCCAATCAGCACTGTCCAGACAGAGGTCAGGGGTTCTGCATCCTCCTACAGCAGAATGAAAACTCCTCCTACAAGCTTTAACCAGTGCTCTGCTGAACATTGATAAAAGGCACAAGACTGCGCTAACTGCGGATGAGAAAAAGGTAGTCAGCAGTTTATATTTAATAAAATAATTGCATTTCCATGTTCTGTGTACTGTGGGGAACCAGATATAGTGAATGCAAGGTCCTGGATTTAGTAGCACTTTAAAAGTCCAAATGTGCTCCTTGGATTTTGGGCCCCTCTGTGCATCTAGACTGTGAAAAAGTCTCACACATGTGGTACCTTCATACTCGGAAGGCAAAGCAGAATGTATTTGGGGTGTAATTATGCGCATGCCTACTCTGTGTGTGAGACATAACAAATAAAAGAAAATTGTATTTATGAATCGTGTTTTGTTTGAAGCAAAGTTAATTTATTGTCCGAGTTATTGATTTGACTTTCATTAGTTCCTTCACAATGTGATATATCTTATTCTCTGAAGAAGCCTAATGGGCAAACACATGAACACATGTCCGCTGACACCCGCCGGTCCATAGAGGGCCATGGATGGTCCAGTTGGTTTTGCCTGAAAAACTGACAGGCAGACCCTATTGGACCTTCAGTGTGAAAGGGGCCTTACATGATATTTATTTGTAACAGCAGAAATTTCATTTAAAACCACTAAACAAATGCAAGAAACAAAAAGAAAAGATATTGAAAATCAGTGAGGGGTTGTTATAAAGGTATCTCACCAATATCACTTAAATCCAAAAGACCAATCGGAGATAGTAAGATGGTTGTATATAAGGTTAGAGCCAATTGGTTCAGTGGTCCCTCCACACGCACAGACAAAGGGCAGTATACAGTGTGCCACAGGAGCTATTCAAAAGATATATATTGCATAAAAAAAGAACTGCTACAACCTATATCATATAATTTGCCAAAAATACAATCCACAACAGTGATCGAGGAGAAATCCCACCAACCAATCCACCTGTATAGGGGTTAAAATGTTCAAATACCCATGTGTTATGAAGAAAGATTATTTATTTGAACAATTTTATAACAGAAACAAAGAAAATCATGTTTTTTTTTTCAAAATATTCTGTCTTTTCTGTTTATGTAGCAAAAATAAAAATGTACGGGATGTACAGGCAAGCAGATATACTGACAAGAAAAATCAATAAATCATTGAAGTATGGCTTATAGTTCTCAATTAATTACCACAGTGCTGTGGAGCGCTATGGTAGTTAATTGGGAACTACAAGCTGACAGTCGTTAAGGCTGTCGGGACTTGTAGTTTTTTCATTCACAGAAGACCTTGAATGATTGACATGGCCATAGCCCAGTGCGGCCGCATTTTTAAAAAACATCTTGACAGCTAGTCGGAGGAGAATATCCCCTGCTAGCTGTCAAAGTGGGGGATTGGGAAGGAGTGGGGACCAGTCTATTCATAACATGGTATGGGTGTAACATGCAAATGCCATATCTGGGGGAGTTATGTACATACTCAGTATTCAGAAGACCTGATGATGATGCCATTGTGGAATTACACATGCCACCCCGGACACACTTCCAGCATCCTGTATAATATGGCTACCTGGAATTTTTTTACTAGAAAAGCGTACAGTTTAACAGTGATAGAAGTAAGGAAGTCGTAACCGTGAAGGGTAGGCTTTGAGCTGCAATTCTAACAGGTCATGTGACAGAATCTTTCAGACAGGCAGTAATGATGACCACCCTCTGAAAAGCAGCTGACTGGCATTTGGGAGGTGCTACTGACACCTTTTTTTTTTTTTTTTTTACGTTTTTAAATTGCATTACTTTGCATTACATTTTAAATATTACAACTTAATAGAAAGTTTGACCAATCTATTAAATTTTCATATGTATTGTCAGCTAGTGTACTCATTTACATGGGTGCTAAGGGGGAAAAATAAAAATGCTGATCTGCACTTTTACTGACCTCTCTTCTAAAACCTACCACGGCAGCTAAAAGGGTTCATACACATGCTGCAGCCAGGGGCGGACTGACCATTCAAGCAGTCGGGCACTGCTCGAGGGCCCGGGGTCAGTAGGAGGCCCCATGAAATGCCCCTGGTACCTTTTTTATAGGCTTTTTTGAGTGTGAGCAAGGACACAGGGGACCCATGATCCCCTATTGCCCCATGAGTTGTCAGTCCGCCCCTGGCTGCAGCCATGGCACATTTACTCCTGAAGCCAGTGCTCTACCAGCCCCTGAAACGTGTGTAATAGTTCGAGCAGAGCTGAAAATATCTGATTTGTGTTTGACTTTGAGTACGGCTGCAAGGACAATAAAGGTTTTACATGTTTTTAATCCAAGTTTTTTCTCTTTTTCCAGGACAGAGGCATTCTCCTCCACATCGCCATTCTCCTTGCCAGCTGCGTCATTCTCCTTCATCTCTCCGTCATTCGCCATCCACACAGCGCCGCTCCCCTGTTCCACAATGCCCATCTCCCATCTTACAGAGAAGATCCCCTGTCCCACAGTCTCCAGCACATCAACGCCGTTCTCCGGTGCCACCTTCCTCACCCTCACGTAGGTCACCTGTACCTTCACCATGTCCGTCCCCTTTGGGAACTGATATTCATTACCCAAAACCTCCAGCTCATCAAGCTAAAGCATCTTTCCAAGCACGTCGTAGCTATTCCGAAATTAGTGAGCCTGCTCTGTATCCACGAGCACCACGTTCCCTATGGATGCCAGCAGGGACAGCTACCTTACCAAAACAGAGATCCTACAATGAGGGATACGCAGGAAGCCCACCTACTATACCCTGCTTCCATGATCCACAACAACAGTCCTCTGACGAGGACGAATGGAGTCCTCCATCCCCACCCAGTCCAGAGCCTGGAGCAGTACGTTGTGCTTCCTTTTGTGCTGGGTTCCCCATACCTGATGCAGCAAGTAGAAGAATGTCAGCATCCTACTCCCGCGCGGAACATGCACAGTCTTGGCCCTCTATCAATGTAAGTGTATAAGCAGAAAACAAACAAAAACAGAAGAGGGGTAGGGACAAAAACACATTAGATGACACAGGATCATTTTTTTTACTATATACTCTACCTCATTCTGTTATTTAACATGACCTTCTCATAAACTACAGCTCAGTTTCTTACTCATTAATGTGTCACTTTGCCCATTGAGCCCATCCCAACCCACTTATATTCACCCCTTCCACATTCCACATCCCACTGCCATTCTATTGTTCTAAAGTCCTAACCTGAATGAGCACCATGCCTAAAGGTGTTGGATCTTACATAGGGTTGATGTCAATGGCAGCCTTCTCCTGTAATGGTGTCTAGGCCTGGCAATTGACTGCTAGGCCAACCCAATGCAACATGGGAGGAGGTTGCATTTTCCACCACACCTAGAAACACTAGGGGATGGATTTACTAAACCTGGAGAATGCAAAACCTGGTGCAGCTATGCATGGGAGTCAATCAACTTCTAAGTTAAGCTTTTAAAAAAAAATAATAAATGCACATTTTTTTTGCAAGTAAAAAAATGTGCATTTATTAATTTTTGTTGTAGGAACCTGGAAAGCATTGCACCAGCAATCAGCAGATCGCAGGTGCCATGCAGGTTTCCTGCAGACCTGTCAGTATACAGTATCTGCTTGTCCGTACAGGATGTATGTACACTATATTGCCAAACGTATTGGGCCAACCCTCCAAAACATTGGATTCAGGTGTTCTAATCACCTCCATGGCCACAGGTGTATAAAATCAAGCTCCTAGGCATGCAAACTGCTTCTTCAAACATTTGTGAAACAATGGATCACTCTCAGGAGCTCAGTGAATTCAAACATGGTACCGTGATAGGTTGCCATTTGTGCAATAAGTCTATCTGTGAAATTTCCTTGCCACTAAATATTCCACAGTCAACTGTTAGTGGTATTTTAACAAAGTGGAAGCAGCTGTGAACAACAGCAGCTCCGCCACGAAGTAATAGACCACGTAAAATGACAGAGCGGATCCGCACAGACATTGCCAGATGTGTGCAGAGTGAATAGCTAAGGGCCTCCAAACTTCATGTGGACTTCAGATTAGCACAACAACAGTCAGTAGAGAAATCAGGAAATAAAGATAAAAGTGAGCGCTAGATGGAAAGCTGCTATGCGCCAATAAGTACCAAAAGACTTAAAAAGACATACAAAAGAGAAGGGCGCAGCGCTAGAATACAATATAATAATAAACCATATATATATGAAGTGGTGACAAAGTGCTAGAAACTGTGCATAAAAGCAATGATAGTCCTTAAACATCAAACGGTGACTGAAAAAACGTGCGTCTTCCGGTGATCAGAATGATTGAATCATGCACTCACCAGATGCATAATTCAAATATGCATATAGATGGTATCCCGATATCCATACGCAGTTGTCTCATGAACGGATCAGGTCATCATCTAAGTGCAGCAGTCCATCCAAAGAATCTTCTTTATGGATCGTGTGTTGCCACACTAAGACACCCCTCAGCTGTCCCCTAAGAGACTCTGCAGAGTCTCTTAGGGGACAGCTGAGGGGTGTCTTAGTCAGTAGAGAGCTTCATGGAATGGGTTTTTATGGCCAAGCAACTGCATCCAAGCCTTACATAACCAAGGGCAATGCAAAGCGTCGGATGGTGGTGTAAAGCACGCCGCCACTGGACTCTAGAGCAGTGGAGACGTGTTCTCTGGAGTGACGAATGACGCTTCTCTGTCTGGCAAGCCGATGGACATGTCTGGGTTTGGCAGTTGCCAGGAGAACAGTACTTGCCTGACTGCATTGTGCCAAGTGTAAGGTTTGGTGGAGGGGGGATTATGGTGTGGGGATGTTTTTCAGGGGTTGGGCTTGGCCCCTTAGTTCCAGTGAAGAGAACTCTTAAGGTGTCAGCATACCAAGACATCTTGGACAATTCCATGCTCCCAACTTTGTGGGAACAGTTTGGAGATGGCCCCTTCCTGTTCCAACATGACTGTGCATCAGTGCACAAAGCAAGGTCCATAAAGACATGGATGAGCGAGTTTGGGGTGGAAGAACTTGACTGGCCTGCACAGATTCCTGACCTCAACCCGATAGAACACCTTTGGAATGAATTAGAGGGGAGATTGCGAGCCAGGTATCCTCATCTGACATCAGTGCCTGACCTCACAAATGTGCTTCTGGAAGAATGGTCAAACCTTCCCATAGACACACTCCTAAACCTTGTGGACAGCCTTCCCAGAAGAGCTGAAGCTGATATAGCTGCAAAGAGTGGACCAACTCAATATTGAACCCTACGGACTAAGACTAGGATGCCATTAAATTTCATGTGCATGTAAAGGCAGGCATCCCAATGCTTTTCGCAATATAGTGTATATGTGATTCTGCACACAGTGGCCACCCTGGAGCAGTAAAACTGCTATATGGTGGTTGCCAAGTGGTTATGAAAAGTGAACTTATCCTTTAAGCTTTGACAGAAACGAAAACCTGGAAGCTGATTGGTTTTTATGAATGGCTGCACCAGATTTTGCACTCTCCAGTTTTAGTAAATCAACCTAATTGTGCATCAGTTCTGGGAGAGGAACAGAGAAATGGGGGAGTGCTGAGATAGTAAATATAAGTGAATTTCTGTCACTTTGCCTTGAATGAACAAAGTAACAGAATCTCAAAAAGTATTATCTGCATCTAAAATGGCCACATAATATGACACTACAATATTTTTAAAACACTGCAATTGTTTATTTGCCAACAGAAACAGGTATATTGCACACCCTGTCATGCACATACTACACAGTACATATACAGACCCCTCAAAGAATATCATACACTAAAGCTGGCCAGAGATGGATCGAAATTAAACCGGTTTAGCAGGAATTGGCTGAATTTTGTTCCATCTGTGGGTAAGCTGGTTGAACTGAAGTTGATCTATTGATCAATTACAGTACAAGCAGCTTGTTGGTTTTTTTTGTGTGCAATCACTGCTGGTGGTTACAGCTTCCAGCAGTGATCATTGTTTTCTGACTGTGGGAAAACCAGAATACAATAGTGCACTGGGAGGGATTCTCCTGTCAACACTTACTGTGTTGATGGGGGAATCAAGCAAATTTCTTTCCTTTAACCCAGGGTTCTCCAAACTTTCTAAACAAAGGGCCGGTTTACTGTCCAACAGACTTTAGGAGGACTGTGGCCAGCTGGAGTAGAAAATGCCCCAGTGTCAGTGGGAGTAGACAATGTCTCAGTCTTGGTGCTCAGTGGGAGAAAAACAATTATATAGTGCCTGTGATCAGTAAGATGAGGAATGGTGTCCCATCATTGGTGTCAGTGGGAGGAATGCTGCCCCATCATTGTTGTTAGTGGGAGATTCAGTGTCCCGTTGCTGCTGTCAGTGGGAATACTTGTGCCCCATTGCTGATGTAGGTGGGAGGATCAGTGTCCTATTACTGCTGACAGTGAAAGGAAACGTGCCCCATCTTTGTTGTCTCTGGGAGAAATAGTGCCTCGCGTCAGTGTGAGGAACAGTGCCCCAAGGGCCACATCCAGGGAAGCAAAGGGCCGCATTAGGCCCACGGGCCACAGTTTGGAGACCACTGCTTTAACCAATGGTTGAAGGACAGAAAATTCCATAATCTATGGCTTGCCTAAATCACAATGAATGTTGCGGGAAAACATGGTGTCAGCCAAAGATAAGGAAGATAGAATTTCTTCTCTTAATATAGCACTGACATTTTTCTTGACGTGCGCATGCGGGAGTTTTCCCAGCTGCATATCTGGTGGACTAGTGAAGTATGAAATAAGTGCTTTTTTGACAACATTGTAGCATTAATCCCTTGCAGTTATAGCCCATAAGAAACTTAAATGGGCAGCACAGTGGCTTAGTGGTTAGCACTTCCGCCTGGCAGTACTAGGGTTGTAGGTTCAAATCCCAACCACGGCACCACCTGCCTGGAGTTTGCATGTCCTCCCTGTGCCTGCGTGTGTTTACTCCGGTTTCCTCTCACACTCCAAAGACATGCAGGTAGGTTAATTGGATCCTGTCTAAATTGTCCATAGTATATGTATGAATGTGACTTAGGGACCTTAGATTGTACGCCCCTTTTAGGGTTAGAGACTGATGTGAATATACAATATATATATGTAAAGCGCTGCGTAAATTGATGGCGCTATACAAGTACCTGAAATAAATAATAAATAACATAAATATGGATGTTGTCCCCACAGGCCGTACATTGCTCTAAGGATATCCAGAAGACTATATCACTAGATGGGCATCATATCATAGCCAAATATTTCAAGCTACGGATGTGGGGCTCTGGAAACATGGAGGATGACAATGTAATCATCATACAGAGATATTTTATTATGCTAGCCTTATCATAATACTAGAGTTAGTTTTTTTGTGTCTGAGCAAACCTGTTTTATGTTTGTGAAGTCTTATATCGCACACAGCAGTGTGATTCTGGCACAAATTCAATGTTATATTGTCACCCTCATGATCCCGAAGCTTTATTAAAAAATGGCAACACTGAAATGTTATAAAATACTGTATAAACCACAAAACTAATGTCATTTACACTTAAAAACACTATTCTTTTGCTCAATCAGAGCAAGGTGACGGTGCTTCCTTATAGCCCATACCCCCAACAAGGTATACTCACCTTTCCTGCGCTCTCTTGTAACCTCTCCACTCCGGAGGTCCAGGGACATTGCTAGGACAATGAAGGACACAGGGCACCCTGGGACACACAGAAGTAATTCTAAAGCTCGCTAGGTGTGCTTTAGTGAATGGTGTGTATAGTCAGATCCAGGGGCGGACTGACAAATCATGGGGCCCCCGGGCAATAGGGGATCATGGGGCCCCTGTGTCCTTGCCCAAACTCAAAAAAGCCTATGAAAAAGGTACTAGGGGCATCTCATGGGGCCCCCTACTGACCCCGGGCCCTCGGGCAGTGCCTGAGTTTCCAAATGGTCAGTCCGCCCCTGATCAGATCATAGTTAAAAAAAATAGAATAAAAAAATCCCCTGCAAGAAAATGTCATAATGTGCTAGTGTGCATTGCATACATTGCACCATGCATTGCTTTTCACTATTCCTTTTTGTGTCCTTCCAGTTACTGATGGAGACGGTGGATTCGGAGGTAAGGAGTTGTCCTCTCTGCCAACTGGCCTTTCCTGTCGGATACCCAGATGATGTCCTAATAAAACATATTGACTCTCATCTAGAGAACAGCAAGATCTAACAGCATTCCAACACTCACTTTGGTGTCCATGACACAGAGGCCCCAAGCATTGGGGTCCCAAGCAGTCAAAAACAAAAAGAAAAGTCGCCTATAATAACCACCCCTTTGACTTATACATTAGTAATGATTACCTATATTGTATACTGAATATCTGTATACTGACCCAAGAAGTGCAGTATAATGATGATATGCTAAGAATGTGAAGACATTGCATTGTAAAGTCAGACTCGCTCATGGTGAGCAGGATATGGAGTTCAATCACTTCAGTTAACACACTGCGCACTATAAGGATGCTGAGTACTAGACACCTAATGTACACAATAACGAAGGGTGGGTATACATATGCACACTGAAATGAACACATTGCACTTTATAATGAATGATTCTGAGTATATTTATGCATCTTTACCACTGCAGCTGCTGTGGAACTGTAAGTCTAACATGGGTAATAATATACTCAGATATTGACATCCACAACAGCTGTGCTACCGCGGGTTTCTTGGATTTGTAAAATGTGGCCATTATCATCTCTTTCTGGGGTTCCGATAATTGAAAAGTAAAAAAAATAGGGTTTGTAATCCTATGATGACCTGTGCCCCATTAAACTCAATAGTTAGATAGGTTGTCAGTGCAGTGGGCCATTGACGAATGTTTTGGATTCAAATACTGTATGGACCTGTTAATTGCTTTATGGCGTCTGCCAAGAGCAAATTTCCTTATGGTTGATTGAGTCCTACAAGAATCTCCTACATGCATTGATGGCAGAGCACAACATATACCTAAGAGAGGATCCATCTCTTCTTATTAAAACTGCGTAGATGAAAAATCAAGCATACTGCTAATTTAAGACCCTTCCTGTTGATAACATTTTTTATTTTAGTTGGTCTACTTTATCCAGCAAATAAATCTTTAAAGTAATCATCTGTATTCCTCCTCAGTAGGTGACCAATACTACTTTCCTGATCAGGCAGAGGAGCAGTTATCTAGCTGTCTCTATCACATATAAGCTGGCTCTGCAAGAGGCAATTTGACAGAGTGATCAAGATTTCGATTCCATTTACAGTCAAAGTCACATTTTTATTTTGATTGACTAATTCCACTAATTCCTTGCTACTGCAGTAGTAGGCAGTAGAAATTTCTTGGCATGTCTAGTAAAGCAGGACTTGTTTCGGATACAGTTGCGCTGGTTTTAAGGGAGGTGGTGTATTGAGATCGCGTGTTGGTCCTTGGCTATCCGACTCCTGGAGGAACCATTCAGAATGCCGTTTTGTCAAACAAGTTCCATCTGTGTATGTAAGGTGTGGACCACCTTATATGGAGAACCAAACTGAATAGTTTGGTTAAAATTTTTATTGGTATTCTCAAAATTAACCAACCTGTATGTTTCA